TGCTGGTCACTGCTGGCCCACGGCTTGCCAGTCCTCAGCCTAAAAGGGTTGGGAACCCTGGTCTTGCCCTGCCCTCTGCCCGGCTTCAGACTAACACTGCCCTGTTAGCAGGTAACGAAGGAATGCTGTGGGCTGGATGGTATGGCTCTGTGGGCTGAATCTTCACCACCCCTCCTTTTAAACCAAACTCTAAAAGTGGACACTGAAGGCATAGGCCAGCCAGCCTGTGACCTGATTTCTGGAAGCCTCAGCCTTGACAGCTGCATTTGAATTAAATAGCTGTGCTTTGAACAGAAAAAGGCCTTTAAAAGTATTAATTGCTCTGGAAACTCAAACCCTCTTAGGCTTTCCCCCTCCAAGTGTGGCCTTGCTCCCTGGCTCAGTTTGTCATGCCTGAACAGGATCTATAGCATGAAGAGCTTTGGCAGGTCTGCAAGGCACTTAGATGTGCAGCCAAAAGCTGTAGACAGACTCACGAGGAAACATCATACTTCTTTGTGGCCCTAAACACCTGGCAACCCCAAGCTAAGCCCCCAGTGGGAAAGCCAACTAACCTAGGGCTCACGTAGTCAAACCCCAGACCTCCACTCATGTAGGGAAGCGCCCTGCTTCAACCTAGTCCTGAGAATGGCAAAGGTGCTGCTCCCAGAGACGGAGGCAGAGGCAGACCTAGGGCTCAGCGGGCACCACCCAAGCAGAGGCTCCAGCCAGTGTGAGACTATAGGTGTCCAGGTTGGACCTCCTGGTCAACCTTCCCCTGGCCCTGGCCAAGTGGGCCCTGCACTTGACCAGGAAGGAGGCTCTGACTGGGAAGGTGCCTGGGGACTGCGAGGCCACTTTCCTTTCTCTTGTCTGTGCACGTTTCAGGGCAGAGCACCAGTGGGCAGCGTCCACCAGCTCCTTGGATGCCTTTGAGGACTGGTGGGCACAGCCCAGGGGGCTCTGCTCTGTCCCCCCCTCCGGAGAACTTCTTTTCACATTTTGACCCTTTGGCCCCCATGAGGAGTGACATCCTGCTTTTGCTTTTGTTGTCCCAAGAAGTTAGTTTTATCCTTCACCCTTTGGTCCCACAAAGGGGCTATTAGTTAGCTGGGTGGGCCTTAATTGTTTCTGTCTATTTGTATTTTCCACATTAGTATGGAAGATACAAATAGATCGGTGTCTGGGTCTAGAGGCAAAAGGAAACATGGCCTGGCCCATCCTGCTTACCACCAAACAACTTTTGAGGTGAAGAGACTATTCCGACTTTTCCTGGAGCGTAATCTGCATATAAAATGATCCATGGATGCCTGGTGCCTCCTGAGTTTGGGGGGCACCAGATCACCCATTGGCAAGGGTGGGGAAGATCCCCTAGCAGAGGACTA